CCTCTGCATTAACATGATATATGCATCGTGATGTATGTTAACTTTTGATTAACTTACAGATGTCCCAAGTATGACATTCTCATCATTCACCATTACGAAATCATAGAATTTTCACGTCAATTATGCAAATTAGGTCATCATTTGCATAATTAGTATCTGTTGAAGTTCCGCCTGCCATAGGTTACATAGTATAATGTAAAACACTGTAATTATAGAATTTCCTCATTAATTCTGCAAATAAAGTCCTCATTTGCATAATTTGCATTTAATTATGTACATCTCTCTCTCAGCTACCTACACACCAAAAATAATGAAAATATGTTGTTCCTGTCTGGACTTATTGGCTTTTAAACATTTCGCCAGAAAGTGCCCTGCAGTTCCAGAACAAGCCGCTAGGGGGCCCAAACTCATATGACTTCTTCCCAAGCACGAGAGCTACCTTCCATCAAAATTTCATGACCCTAGCATGTCCAGATCGAGAGATAATGTAAAACACTGTAATTATAGAATTTCCTCATTAATTATGCAAATAAAGTCCTCATTTGCATAATTTGCATTTAATTATGTACATCTCTCTCTCAGCTACCTACACACCAAAAGTAATGAAAATATGTTGTTCCTGTCTGGACTTATTGGCTTTTAAACATTTCGCCAGAAAGTGCCCTGCAGTTCCAGAACAAGCCGCTAGGGGGCCCAAACTCATATGACTTCTTCCCAAGCACGAGAGCTACCTTCCATCAAAATTTCATGACCCTAGCATGTCCAGATCGCGAGATATCAAAACCGGAAGTTGCGCTGCAGTACCAAGGGAAGCCACTAGGGGGACCAAAATCTCATCATTTCCAGTTTTTGTCACACCCTACCAACACACCGAGTATGAAACCAATCCATCCAGGCGTTCTTGAGTTATCTTGTTGACCAACAGACAGACGGACGGACGGACGGACGGACGGACAGATAAACGCAACTGAAAATATAACCTCCATGACACATTTCATGGAGGTAACAAGTGTATAAACTTTTTCAGGACAGTATTACCTGTGATGTCTTTGACAGTATGCCAATGTTACAAAAAACTACAAAATTTCAATTATATTAGATAATAGAAAATTATGTGCTTCCAAAAATGTTCTCAGAAAGCAAACCAGGTTTGCTCCCTTATCAATATTTTCATGGTGATTTTCCATTCACTGACCTCACACTTTGAAGTTAAAGTCCATGAACCGTATAATGTGATATTTCCTCTCACCAAGGCCCCCTAACAACCTGATTGTGCACCACATCCGTCTGTGGCAAAAAGGCACCAAAATATCCTAGAAAGAGACTAGGATTACCGGCACCAGTAAATTAACCCTGTTGCTGAGGAAACCTTTTGACACCAATATTGTATTGGTTACAGGGTTAGGCAGAAGGGGAAAGGATAACCCTTTTCAAGTTAAGTTTAAGTTCCATGTGAAAAAACTTGAAAAGAGTTTAATAAGTACACTTGAAACTCTTCCAGAGCATAGCATAGGGAACATATCTTTAAAAAATATAAATGGCAAGTTTACATTTTCAGCATTGAGATATACATGTAGAAATATTCAAACTAAAAAAAATATAGAAGTTTTTGGATGTGGTTGCACACAGTTTGTAAAGTAAATGTCTTGCACTTCTTGATGTTTCAGGAAGATGCCATTTCTTTGTTGGCTGGTTCTACTGGCGTGCTGTTAGGGGGGATGAATGGAATCTTCACTGCCGCGTCCTTGAGGGCCGTCGGTTTTCCCATGGAAATAAAAGCGAGAGTGGCGGAGAGGTCTGACTAATCGCTTCCTTACACATCACTGTGAGAGGAGACTTGAAAGGAAAGCGTTTATCCTTCCCCGCTGCTTTGCGCCGGCAGGGATGTTTGCCGAGGGAAAGCAAAGCTGTTTAAGTGTTTACAAAACCTTTGCAGTCCAAACACTGCTACACAGTTTCACTCCTTGGGTTTGAAGGCAAGAATGCTGCTGTGGAGAGGGGGCACCTTAAAGACGCTGGCTGTCCTCCTGAGTTATG